TTTTTTTTTTTTTTTTTTTTTTTTTTTTTTTTTTTTTCGCATACATCGTTCTATCTGGACATAAAAAAAAAATGCATCCACCGCCTCTCCTCCCCACCTCGTTATATTGCATTCGTACAACGATTTCATTTTCTTTTTTTTTCTTCTTTTTATTTTTTTTTTTTTTTTTTATCATCAACGATTTACGACGACGACTTCATTCATTTTATTTTGTGTTATTTCTTTCTTTTTCCTTTTTTTTTTTTTTTTTTTTTTTTTTTTCTTCCTTTTTTTTTCTCGTCAACAATGTCCATTCGTCATCGTTTATCTTGATCAATCTTTATATTCACATGTGTAGTATATATATTTTTTATTCTAAGTCTATGATTTTATTTTCTTTTCTTTTTTTTCTTTTTTTTTTTTTTTTTTTTTTTATTTTATTTTTTGTGATTCATCGTAACTTTCGATGTATGACTTGACGTTTGTTTCTATCACTTTGATGAAATTGAACAACCGTGTATATATATATATATATATATATATATATATATAAATATAGTATATAATATTTATATACAGCATATATGATATTTTGATTATTTCTTATAATTTTTTTATTCTGATAATTTTCTTTTTTCTTTTTTTTTTTTGTTCATTTATTTACAGTAATCGAATTGATATATATATATATATATATATATATATATATATATATATATATATGTTTTCTTAATTTTCTATAAAATTATGCAAATTTAACATTTTATTCTTGTACTTTTTAACATTTCATTTGATTTTATTTACACGAACTTAATTATTACATTCACATTCCAAATTTATCGTACATATTTTAATTATACATTATACTATACTATATTATATTATACCGTACAAATAATATATTCAGTAGATTATCATTATATTTAAATATCATACCCAACGGTATAATTACTTAAAAATTTCACTCTGTGCAAATATTTTTTTTTTCTCTCTCTCTTTTTTTCTTTTTTTTTTTTTTACAAACAAACAACAAATTCATTACATAATCGCGAACGGTTAAAAGAGAAGAAAAACAAGATTCAAATCTTACGAAAGATCAGATGGTTGAACAAAGTAAAATAAAAAAAAAAAAAAAAAAGAAAAAAAAAATAAAAAATAAAAAAAGAAATAAAAAAACAATGTTACATTCGTAGATCAAATCCAATCGTAGATATCATCGAACGAGTTTGAAAGAAGTCACAAAGTTTCCATTTAATTTGAAACGAACGTGAAAGACTCGATAGATAAAGTCAAATAAATATCCTTTTCAATTGTGTCGTTCTAACGTTATGTGATGATGTATGAAAGGAGATGTTTAGGTGTGTGGGAGGTGGGTGGGAAGATTGGAACCCTGGGACTGAAAGTGAAGGGATGGGGGGTGGATAGTGGTTGAGAGTTGACGGAGTAAACGCATTCGCGTTCCTACATAGATAGATAATATAAAAGTCGAACGAGACGATCATGTTTCATGGTTTAGTGGTATGTACACGTACATACTAGTTTCGAGTCAAGGTGCTCTTCGAGCTTAGTACTTGACGCATCGATCGATCTTTCTCTCTCAATGTCTAACCCTTTTACAACCCTGCCCTCCTCCTCCGCACCCTCACTTCCAACCTGACTCCCGCCACCCTTCTCCTCTTCATCGTTTATATTATGCCAGAGACCTTATCGAGACACAACGCCGCCGACCGCAGTGTTTATGCCACGACAAACACCCAATCGATTCTTTATCTATACTCTAGTTTCACCAATACACATACATATACGCACATCTACACGCACACTTACACACTTTTGAATCTAACATTTTCTTTTTTTTTTTTTTTTTTTTTTTTTTTTTTTTTTTTTTTTTTTTTTTTTTTTTAATTTCTTTGTTCTCTTTTTTTCTCTTTTCTTTTCTTTTCTTTTCTTTTCTTTCTTTTTTCCCATATTTTTTTCAGTCTCTTCCAGAACTATATATATATATATATATAACAAAGGAAACAATCATATTTATATTTATTAAAGATATTTTATTTATTAAATTTATTAAATAATAAAAATTCTTGTATTAATTGTAAGATCAAAATATATTCAAGTGTACGAAGTAATCGTAATTCATGAATGAATAATTAAGATTAAATTGTAATTATTTATATTACGATAAAACGTTAACGTTCATTGTATTTGTTTTTATTTTTCAACGAATGTATTTATACGCAATTGAAGATATATTTCTTTTAGATGGAATCATTTTGAATGGGATATTTTTTATTATTACATTTTGGAGAAATAGAAAACTTTTATTAATTATTTTTGATACTTTAGTTTGTTTAACGATAAGAAATAAAAATAGAAAGTTATTTTGATAGTTACAAAGAAGATATACGAAGGGGATTTTCATATTCAATTGGTCCATTTATCATCATGGTCGTAATCATTTCATCTTCTTTCTTTTTTTTTTTTTTTTCTTCTTTCTCGTAACGTATGTACGTATCTCATTCTTCACCAAACGATCATCCGTCTTTCCTTAAACAAATCCCCAACATATTTCTCTGTTCGTTTCCAATCGCGAAAGTTTTTCGACGTTAGCTTGTAATAAGCAACGATATTCTAATTCTATTTGATGGTTTGGGACTTTAGTCCCATTTTTGCATGCATCGTCACACATTTGTTGTCTGTACAAATCGTTTCAAAAGTTTCTGTCGTTAACACATAGAAATTGTTATGCAAGATCTAATGTCATTTATATATGTATATGTATATGTATATATATATATATATATATATATATACATATATAAATATATACACATAATAACATACAATACAAATTTATAATATTAACAAACGAATTGCTCGACATATTACGCGATAATTCTCGTTGTTAACACAAAAGAAATTATCCACGTGTTTTATTTTACATATATATTATTTTTATACATATTTATTTTAATATATATATATATATTTTTTTTCCCCCTTTATTATTATTATCCCCATATTGTTACAAAACAATATGAATTTTCAATACTGAAACAACAGCACGTAATCGGTTCGTTACACTTACGATAATATTTTGTACATATTATACATGTTAGTTTTGAATAGCTCGTATTTATATTGTTTATAAATATATATATATATATATATGTATATGTATGTATGTTCTATAAAGTTATGCCATAACGATAGTTTGTGAAAAGTTCTCTCGTAAAGATAATTATTTACACGAGATTAGCGCGAATCATCGCGATTAGTTATATGTTGTCGCGTGATATATAGATAGATAGATAGATGGATAGATAGATAGATAGATAGATAGATAGATAGATATATAGATAGATTGATTGATTGATTAATTGATTGATAGTTAAAACTTACTCGCCCTATCAGGACGAAGGATCGAGATATCATATCCTAGTATTAATAAATATCTCGTTGTTAATGAGAGTACACTTTATGTTTTGTTACGAGACGAGGAAATTTTTTTTCTCTTTTTTTCTTTTCTCTCTTTTTTTTTTCTTTCTTGTTTTTTTTTTTTTTTTCTTTTTTTTTTTCTTTTTTTACGGGAAAATAATATAAATATCGACGATTGTGAAAATTCGACGGGAAAAAAAATAAATAAATAAGTAAATAATAATAATAATAAAAAAAAAATAATATAATAAAAACAATTATAAATATAAAAATTAAAGGTAAAAAAAAAAAGAACAAACAAACAAAACAAATGGAAAAGAATACGAACGAAATTAAAGGCGAAACTTTTTAATTGAAACTTTTTAAACGAACGGAATTAAGAAAAAGACAAAAAAAAAAAATAAATAAATAAATAAATAAATAAAAGACGAGATATAGTGTACACACAAAAAAAAAACAAAAAACAAAAAAAAAACAAAAAAGGGCAGCATGTGCACAGCATGGCTCAGAAACTGCTTCCGCCAGTAACAGCATTAACAGCTTAAGCCAGCGTAATACCTTGCTTACAAGTTTTGAACTGCATTGAACTCGAAGGGGAAAGGAAATAAGGAAAAAAAAAAAAAAAAAAATAGAAAGAAAAGAGAGAGAGAGAGAGAGAGAGAAGAAGAGCGAGAGAAAGAGAGAGAGAAAGAGAGAGCGAGAGAGAGAGAGAGAAGAAGGGAAAAAATAAAACTAAAAAAAAAAAGATAAAGAAAGAAGAAAGAAAAAGTAAGTGGGAAGGAGGGAAGGAGGGAAGGAAGGAAGGAAGGATAGAAGGATAGAAAGAAGACATCGATGGAGCCTTACGATCGCCTTGTAAATCCTGTCAATCGGAATTTCACGGCGATCGTTAAAGACTTAAACGTCGATCGATTTTACGTATTCACGATGTTTGCCACCAACTAATCCGATTTTATTGATCAATGATAAAAACGCGACCCAATGGACAATCGGATATTTTGAGAATCCTTTTTCCCAACGTTCATCTATTTTCGATAGTTCCTAAATGATCTTAAATATCATCGATTATACTTTTTACCGTGATTTTAAAATAGTTCGATCCTTTTTGTTCTTATCTTTTCTTTTCTTTTCTTTTCTTTTCTTTTCTTTTCTTTTCTTTTCTTTTCTTTTCTCTCGTCATTTTCAAACTCAAAATTCAAATGTCCCGGGCGCTCGTAGTTTCACGTTTAAACAATGAAGAAAAAAAGAATTAAAATAAAAAGAAAATAAGAAACCCGTAAACTCTCTCTCGAGAAAAAAAAAAAAATGTATTCTACAATGTATGATCGGATTTTTAATGAAAAAGTCATTTAATCACATTTAACGTAATCCTGTATATGAGTCGTGATATCGTTTAATTATCAGAGCGATTTAATCAGTAGATCGATGGATCAGTAGATCTTGATCGGTTGGTAGGTTAGATCGTGAATAAGGAGATGAATGAAAAAAAAAAAAAAAAAAAAAAAAAAAAGAAAAAAGAAAAAGAAAAAAAGAAATAAGAAACAAAGATACATTTTTATTTCATCCATATGCTTCTGTTTCAGGAACCTTGACCGTCAACGTGAGCGTGTTGCTGCTGAGCCTGGCCTCACCCGACGAATCCAGTCTGGTAAACTGGAAATCTTTTAGCTTTTTCGAGATCGTCTTTTGAGAAAGGAAAAAAAAAAGGAAAAGAAGAATGAGAAAAAAAGAAAGAAAGGAAGGACGGAAGAAAGAAAAGGAAAGGAAATAGAATAATTCAGAAACAAAATGTCAAGTAGTTCCTTTTTTTTTATATTGTACGATGGACAATGCCCGATTGAAAATGGAATTTCAATTCGTCGAGGATAAGCTTTTCTAAATGAAATGAAAGAGAATTGTTGTAAATATGTAACTCGAAAGATTTCGTCGTAAACAATTTCGTCAAAATGTATATTTAATAGTTTCTCATTTATTACTTGATATATTGTTCGGTGAAGCCTTTTAATATTTTCATGAATTACAAAGTAAAGTATATGGTATATACTTTATATAATATATATATATATATATATATATATATATATATATGTATGTATATATTATATATTATATACGAATGATGGTGATATAATGCTCATACATAATAAAAAAAACCACCAATCTTATAGCAAAATATCATTATCAAATAAATCATCTTTTCCTTCTTCTTTTTTTTCTCTTTTTTTTTTTTTTTTTTTTTTTTTTTTGTTTTTTTCCTTCATCTCTTCTTCTTTTTTTCCCTTTTTTATATCATCGTCAAAGAAATTATTGATTTATTATTTTTTTTTTTTTTGTATACCGTCGTGTCAAAGCAATCATCCTTTCCTTTTGTATATTTTTTTTCTTCTTTTCTTTTTCTTTTTCCTTTTTATTTAATATCATTAATATGGAAATTAGACTTAAAGTCGTTAAAACAAATTTCTTTTTTCTCTTTCTTTTTTTTTTTTTTTTTTTTTTTTTTTTTTTTTTCTTTTTTTTTCTTTATCGAAAAATTTCAAGCCAAGTTGCCAATCTTCTCAACCCGCTGTACTTTATTTTATTTATTTACGTTTTTTTTTCCTTCCTTCCTTCCTTTTCTTTTCTTTTCTTTTCTTTCTTTCTTGTTTCTTTTTCTTTTTCTTTTTCTTTTTCTTTTTCTTTTTCTTTTTCTTTTTTTACGCGGAGAAAGATGAGCTCGATGAGATACGAAAATAGAGCGTGGGACGTCCATAAAATAAAAATTGCTTTCTCTTTGCATGCGATATAGTTCTACTATGTAGAACTATAGTAGAGTATGTTCGGGCGTGGCCTTGCATGAACGTATGTATGTAAGTAGTTCGCGCGCCGTTATTTGTTGCGAAGTTTTTCTCGTGTGAACTTTTATAGAACGCGACAGTCATGTAGTTTTTTCCATTGCCTACGACGAAGGCCGATCGTTCGACCGTTCTGTGAATATATAATGAATTAACAAGATTTTCTATAAGAGAAAGAGTAGGAAGGATCGAATCGTTCATTTTTCCTCTTTCTTTTGTTTTTTTTATTATTATTATTATTATTATTATTATTATTATTATTGTTATTATTATTATTATTATTATTATTATTATTATTATTATTATTATTATTATTATTATTATTATTATTATTATTATTATTATTATTATTCTCCGATCGTCGTGATTGGTGATTCTTCTTCGAAAGTGATTTCAAAAAAAAAAAAAAAAAAAGAAAAAAAGTAAAGGAAAAAAGAAGAAAAAAATATTTCTGTGATTTGTATCGTAAAGGAACAAAAAAGAAAAAAAAAGGAAAAAAAAAAAAAAAGAAAAAAAAAGAAAGAGAAAAGTAAAGATTTATTAAAACCCATAGGAATAAAATAAATATCAAAATATAAGGAAAATCGCGTAAATGGGATCGTCAAATTAAATTGAAAAATTCGAAAAAGGATAATTTATTAAAATCATCGAAAAGGGGAAATTGTGTTCTTTTAGTCGATTAATTTCTTTCGATTGGTCGAAGTAAAAAAAAAAAAAGGAAAAGAAAAGAAAAAAAAAACGAAAGAAAGATAAGGAAAGGCAAAAAAAGAAGTAGAAAAGGTTCGAAATTATTAATTCGAAGAAAAGAAAATCTTTCGAAAGTATTTAAAACGGACGATCTCGATACAAGCGAGAATTTGATTAAAAAATTCAAGGAGATGGTATAAACGAAATAAAGAATTGGGAAAAGAATATTTTCATTGATAATAATCGTCCCCTTTTTTCTATATTTCTTTTTCAGAAATACGAAGTGGAGTTTTTGCTGCAGCAACAGTGGTTCGATCCGCGGTTGCGTTATAGCAACAGATCGCGATACGAATTCCTTAACGCGATTCACCATTACGACAAAATCTGGCTGCCGGATACGTATTTTATAATGCACGGCGATTTTAAGGATCCCCTTATACCGGTTCATTTCGCTCTGCGAATATACCGCAATGGCACCGTCAACTATCTTATGCGGTATTTTTATCTTTCCTTTTTTTTATCTTTCCTTTTTTCTCCTTTTCTTTTTTTAATTACGTTTCTATAAAGAACAAGAAGAAAAAAACAAAAAAGAACACCATTGTCGAAAGCCTTCGAATGTACGCTATTCTATCTTTCACTTAATATATCTAAAATTACATATTTTATAGAATAATATACAAATTATATAAAGAGATACAAATTCTATACGACATATCAATTTGATTTAAAAAAAAAAAAAGAGAGAAATAATAATAATAATTATTGCTATTATTATTATTATTATTATTATTATTATTATTATTATTATACTGATACACAGCATAAATTATATATATAAATATTATGAATTATATAAAAAAAAAGATTATCCTGGTATAGAAAAAAAAAAAAAAATAATAATAATAATAATAATTATGCTGTGAATTTTATTTAAAAAGAAAGAAAGAAAAAAAAAAGAAAAAGAGAAAAGAAATAAAATCTACGAAATATTCGAAACTTTTGACCAGAACTGTAGGTATAAATATATACATACCATAAATGACCCTTATCACTCGTATGTGTATACGTAATCTTACACATACTCGAGCAATTTTCTTATAATACGCTTTGCTAACAATAGAAATCGTTCATATGTGTGTATATATATACATATATATATATTATATATATATATATATATACATATATATACATCTATATACTTATAACCAGGTATACTCCGTTTATTTTTCTTTGTAACGTAAACCACAAGATACGTTTATGTAACAAACGATTATTCCTTCATTTCGCACGTGCCATTTATTTCAAACAATATACGAACGATTTAGATTAAAAGTATAATCACTTTGAATATATAATTAAAGAAAATCGTCGAACGTCGATCAAAAATATACCCATGTAACTTTATATGTTGTATGTACGTGTACAACGTATGTATGTACTTGGATAAAATGAATGAATCCATAATCTTCATTATGTGACTTTTTTTTTCTTTCTTTTCTTTTTTGCATTTTTTTCCCTTTCTGTTTTTCTTTTCTTTTTTTCTTTTTCCTTTCTTTTTTTTTTTGCATAAAAAGTTTCACGTTTTACGATTTACGAGAAGATCCTAGAATCCCATTCACAAATATTCGCATGAACACGCGTACGCATAAAGCACAGACATACGTTAGAAAGTTTTCCTAGAAAGTTACGTTCTTGATGCATCGTCGATGTAAATCAACGATGAAAATCAGAAATAAGCGTTAAGGGAATTGCTTGAGATAGAAACGATAACGTTAATATTATTCTTACGTTTATTATATAAAATTATTTAATTAATATTACGTTTCTCTTATTTGCAAATTAATAAAAATGTTTAATCGAATATATAATTTTTTTTAATGACATCTACGTATATATTATATATAAATAATATTTTATTTCCCAATGAGAGATTTTGTAATCTTAGAAATAATACAATTAAATTTTTCGATCTAGCTTATCGAATATATATTAAATTGATCAATTTATGATATATCATTTTGATATATCGTTTATGTAATAATATTATACTGAATCAACCGATGAGTAACGTTGATATTTTTTTTTGTTTTCTTCTATCGAAAACATTTGTACTGAAAGTTTGTCGAAATTTTTTATCGAAAATATTATAAAAAAAGTTGGCAAGATTTTTTCACGAAAAAATATGTTCAAATAAAAAGTATTAGCGTTATTACGATTTAACAAAAAATTTCTTCGTTGTTCATTGGCCAAATCTATATATATGTGTAGAATAAATATATGTATAATAATCTAAGATAATGAATAAAGGTCCAAAAATTGTTTGGAAATTAATTGTAATAAATAATTTTCAGGCGTCATCTAATCCTATCCTGCCAGGGTAGACTCAATATCTTCCCATTCGACGACCCACTGTGTTCATTCGCTATCGAGAGCAGTGAGTAATCAAAAACAAAACAAACTATCATTATTCATACATATTCAGATCGATCTATCGATCTAAAAAAAAATACTTAATTGTTAAAAAAAATTATATTCCTATATACAATACAGGATGGTTCAGTTTAACGATCGTCACGATTTTTAAGATCAAAAAAAGAGAAAAGAAAGTACTTCGAACAAAAAGTCATCACAGTGCGCTCAATCGTCGAAATAATTAGAAAAATGAAAATTGCAATGATATTTTTTTTTTTTTCTTTTTTCTTTCCAATAAAAGATCGAAGTCAAAGTTGACTGACACGTTATATTCATTCTCGAAGTTCTTGAATAATGTTTACGGACGTTTTTTAAACAATTGACTTCAAAAAATAACCAAATAAGTAAAAATCCAATGGGAATAAATTCGGATAAACGAGAAACGTTCGCCTTGATAAGAATTCTTATTACAATGAAAATAATTTTCTTTCATAAAGTTATCATCGTAGAAATGTATCTTCTTTGTACATATGCATCATTGAATTGAGTCTCAATATTGATTACAATATCATTTAGATGTGATTTAATTTCTGATGCGCCATTTGAAAGGATAATAAAGGTGACTTCGATTCATTTTTTTTTTCTTTTTT